AGGTATGCAATGGAATGGTGCACATGGAAAAGAATAACTTCATCCATCGTGACTTAAGAGCAAGAAACTGTATGGTTGGAAAAAATCTTGAAGTGAAGGTCGGTGATTTTGGATTAACTCGACCTGCGGGAGATGCGTCTATGGCTAACGAAGTGTTAGTTCCAGTGAGGATTGCAGCACCAGAAATTCGTGCCTTCAAACAATATTCATCAAAAAGCGATGTCTATGCGTTTGGTTGGTATTTAATTTTTATAAAATCAGGGATTGTTCCTCTGAGGAGGAGAAAAACTAGGAGGAAAAAGAGGCGGAGGAGAACGCTGAAAAGGATCCTCCTCTTCAAATGAGGTGGAAGTTTTTTTTGGCAAAAAGCGATTTTCATTACAAAAATATCTTTTGTAGTTAAAAACATTTTATCCTTCTCAGAGCTCTCCTCCTCAGAGAAATAATTCCTGTATAAAATAAACTTTAATTAAATATTTTAAATAATAATAATAATTTCAATTTTCCAGGAATTTTAATGTGGGAAGTTTTTACAATGGGAGAGGAGGTACAACTGTTTCCCGCGGTGCGAAGATCTTTACATAAACCTGATGGCTGTCCAGATGAAATTTACGCTGTAAGTTGTATCGCCTTGTATATTATGATAAATTATTATATAAAAACAATTAAAAATAACACTCGAATTAAATATGTTTTCAGATCATGAAACTATGCTGGGAAAAATCTCCATACGATCGTCCAACATTTTTGCAGTTAGCATATCACCTCAACGACTTATATTTGAAATATTTGAACTTTGAAAACTATCAAAACACCGAATGGTATTATTAGTATTTCGTAAAAACTATACCGACTCAACCGTTCGTGCAGAACTTGGTCAAAATATTCAAAAAAGAATAGAAAAATATATTTTCAAAGATAAAATTGAACGCTCTAGAATAAAATTCTAGAAATCCGAAAATAACCTCCCATGAATTGACACAAAAATAAAAAATCTTTTTACTTTATACTTTCGTCTTCGTTTCGGCAACAGAGTAGGGTGTATGTGTATGTATATGTGAGTGTGCAATCGAATTTTGAGATTCTCCCTCAGCTTGCAGTGACTATCGATTACACATCTATCTTGTTTTCTATTACAAAATACACATCTAATACATACATTTAATTCACCCTCGTCGTTACTTAACATCGTTCAATCAACCACACTTCCAAATGAGTTCTTGTTACAACGAATAAATATACGGTAAAATGAAGAGTGTTATAAACATGATTACATCTGACATGTTCCGATAATGAAACCGAGTTTTTGTAGTGACAAAATACAATTCGATCTCGGCGAGATTGGAAACGTTGAATGACTTGTAGAAAAGTTCGAATATGAATGCAGAATTGATAACATGATTGAATCGATTTCAAATTCCAAAGCGACTATCAACGATTTACAAAATACCTTCCAGGCTGAAGAGTGACACAACATACAATAGTCTCGAAACAAAAAAAACAAGCCATCCTAGCAACGCCGCCCTATCCATATTTACATTCACACAGACAACGCTCGTTGAACTATTATTTATTATCATATTCAGTGGAACTAAAATTTTATGGAAATTTATACATTTATGCACATGCATCGTCACATATCCACAGGCGTTTTGAACTGTATAGCAGAAGTTCATCCAGCAGAAATCAAGAAATGCACTCAAATAATAACAACCATAGAGATCTGACGCTCGTATTTATAGTATATGACTCGGAGAACCGTGTACAATGTGGTAGCGCCAACAATTAATGTAAATTGCACATAATACGATGAGTGGTGTTCCTTTTTTAAAAAAAAGCATTCACTTTAATTACATTTGATGTGTAAATGCAACATATGCGACGCCAAGTATATGATAAATATTTAAATTGATTTCAAATAAACAAAGATTTATGCAGTCACACAAGTATACACTCAACGCAATCACATTGTAATTGCTTCATTATTTCAATTTAATAAACCAGGAATTATGTATTAAAAAAACCATTTCGAGTGATGTTTCTCTTTTATTTCAATGAAATGTTCGCTACAATGTTATGAATATAAAATGAAATCGATTTACTTTTTTGAATTGCACAACTAGAGCACCCCAATGGCAATCGTAAAACATGAAAAATATCTCGAATTTTTTTGGTACCAATTACTTGTACCGCACACCATGAACCGCTGTTTTATTTATTATTACCATTTAAATGATAAGTCACACGCAAATGCCTAAAGCGAATGACATAATCACTTTGAGTGACTAATTCCAAAGTTGAAACTCAAACCCATTAACATTATATCCACCGAAAAACGAACCCAACACCAAAACGGTTATCAAATGATCTGCTAATGACTATATACCTTCAAAAATGTGTCGATTTAATAATTCAGAACCCACATCAAGGACTTTTAGTCTTATTTCTGTTAAACATTGTTGCGTTGATTGATTTTCGTAGTAGGTCCCTAAATCTTACACAGCAAAAACGAACTTAAACAGGTAAATCCACATATTTGAGCTAAATCAAGTTTAACACGGATAAAAATAAGAATTCCAATCAAAATATCATCAATTTAAAATGCTGATCGAAACGTGTGATAAAGGAAATGAAAAAAGGCGGTCATCGGATTAATATAAATGGGATTACGCTGAGGGGCTAAATATTGTTCATTTTAACTGTCATGAGTCGAAGAATGTAAAAGAAAGACTAGCAAATAGCCAATGAGTTACATTCGCGGAAATGAATCATTTCATTTGAATGTCACTGTTTCACGCCTCATGAAAAGAGAGTTTTTGGTCCCATAACACTTAACATAGATGGATCGATGAAACCCAAAAACACAATAAGAATATTGTGGCCTAAATGCGACAAAGTGAAAAGAAATCATCGAGACGTTTTGTAATCGTTTCGCATCATATATATACGCCCAAGTGAGTGTATTTTTTTTTCTTTGCATGGATACGAAATCCACGCAATCTACAGACTGTTGAAGAAGAGAGCAAACAATTTGCTGGAATTGAATCTATGATTGCGAAAATAAACACAAATACACACCTTCTTATTTTCCATTTGGAGTGGCTATGTTACGATTGTATGCCATTGAAATCAACTCGTACATGCTTATCGTTGTAGTCGTAGTCGTGGTAGTAGTATTCGTCGTCGTGTTTTTTTTTTGTTTGGGTTCAACACAATTTTGCGATAGGCAATCAAAACATAAAAATCAATTGATAGACACTTTTATCCTTTTATTGCCATTTAGATTGGCTGTGATTCGATTTCGATTTCACTTTGTTCGATTTGATAAACTAGCATCGAAATCTCCACGACAAACTATGCGTTACTTAACTAGTCGTTGAAAAAAAGATCACCACTCGCTTTTATGAACTCCAGATTTTTGTTTTCATATCATGTGGTGCTCAAGTCTAACTAGATTTTCTACACTTTTGACTTCAAAAGAGGATGCAGAAAGACGTTTTATATGCTAATTTTACACATACTCATTGCACTGCACAATCATTTTCTCTTATTCGCTTCCCGTTTTTCATTCAAGCAGGGAGTATCTCTTGATAATGCTAATGTTCACATGAATGAATTGCTCGGCAATTTTTTTACGTATGAACGAAAATGAAATTTTTCACGATTGGAAAACGCCTTTCACATTGACGAACAAACACAATCCCAAAAGGATATCATTTTTATAGCATAAAATAAAAGTCTCGATACATTAAACTATTTGACTGGTAATTTTGTCGTTTTTTTAATGTACAAAATAGCCTTCGTTTCACAATCACACTTTGATGGCAATGCAAAAAAATTTCCTCATTTATACAAACGAAAAAAGACACATTTAAACTGTATTGAAAAAAGAAATTCGACGAAACAAATTATTCGAAATATTAGATAGTAGAATGAAACAAGAGGAAAAAAAGGCGAAATAGCGCGTTTTCGCAACACACAACCATACAAAAGGATAAAACGCTGAAGACTAGACATAGAGACCCCAGGCCTTAACTCAATTCACGGTCTTTGTTAAAAGTACAACCACTCCGTGTACCAATACAACCGTAACAATCGACTCTATGCCAAACGCACACCAGTAAACCGTTACGCGCGCACATGTACATGCATACGATACGTCTTTGACTCACATATCCAGCAGTTCATCCAACTTTGATTGTTTACAATGCCACCGAGAAAAAACATTAGCGAGCGTAACTTATGTACGACACATGCATGTGCACTACACTCCGAGCTACTATTTCTTTCGGTGCATGATGGTTTTGTTGTTTGCGATTCCGTCTCTTTTTTTTTCAATTAACCACGTTCGTTTACTATTGACTACACGACCATAAAATCATCGTCAACAATACTAAGCAAACAATATGAAATCGACGATTTAATGCATTTTGGTTGTTATAACCAGTTGTTAATGTGGCTGTTGAATGCAAATGGAGGACATTTCTTTATTGGTCATAATGGCTCTATTTATAAATCAATTTTTATTAATTCAGAGCAAAGATAGCGAATACAAAAGCAGCAAATGAACTGCCTTGAGAGTTTACATTTTTATTTCAATGAACTTGCAATGACAATGAGACACACATAGACGCACAGAGAGATGAGTAGTTGTAAAAGGACGATCTCTCTTCAAAAAGGCTGTTGTGATTCGCACAGTGGCTCGTAAATATTAACGGTAACGCTGACAATACATGCATGTTTGATTTTGCGATGTAGTAAAACTTGGCGTACACACCAAGTAGCGATTTTCATATGTATACATATCGATTGGAAATGCGCAGAATATTAGTGCGCATCACATGCAATGGGAATGTAGACTTACAATTGAACAGGGCTGAGAATCTAACAAAATTTGCGATGAGGGGAATCAGCACTGTCAACACGCACACACAATGTTTTTACTCAAAAAATCTTTGAGACAAATTCATAATGATAACGAATGATAAAAATAGACTCACATTGGAACCGCTTCTTTTTGCTTCTTATCTTGAATCGCACTCATGCTATATCGTTGTGTCTTTCGCTGTGTTGGCTTTCGATTGACAGTATTTACGCTACTTGATGAACCTGAAATTTGATTTTTTTTTTATTATTTATTGAATCGCACTCAGTTGGATATTTATATCAAGGTCTAAACATTGAATTTTATAACGATTTATAAATTGACCTAAAATTTGCGTAAAACTTAATAGCAAAAATATTCTACCAGATAAACAGCAAAAATATCTAAACCGGCATGGTTGTTTCCTTGCACTATGGATAGGGATACTCTGTTTTGAAATCATACTATTATTTATTGGTTTGTCACTAGATTTTCCCTCAATGCTTTTTATGCTCTTTTCCATCTTAAAACCCGTTAATTTCAATATTGTAAATCACTTTGTAAAAGAGTTGGACGTTTGTGTTTTTATAAACAGCATTATAGACTGCCAGAAATCGTTTCATTTTGCTATAAATGCGGCGGTGTGAATTTTTTTTTCCTACGGTGTGATATACGCAAAGATAAAAAAAAATCACACGATTACAAAACTGAAATTAGCACACAACTCCTAAATAGGTTCCATTGCATATGACACTTTAGGTATGCAATGGCAAATCGAACCAGATTCCTACACAATTGCACAAAACAAACATCCACCTCAATATGCAAAGAAAAAATATCTATAAATTGACACGGCAAGACACATGCAAATTGTGATAACATTGACTTTGTTTAACTTACGGTTTTCGTATTTATCGCGAAACGCCACCAAACTGGAAACAATACGCGCTCTATGAGCTGAAATTCGAACCCCCAGTTGCTTTATATCCGCCTCACAAAAGTACATCAATTCTTCGACACCGATGAACTTTTTGAAGCTTTCTGCAGAAATGCGAAGCGGGGTAGCAAAAAAGGCCTTTAGACAGGATATAAAATCGTATTTTCTAAATTTTTATTGCATATTTACCATTGTATTGCGGCAATTCGAGCATCTCTAACCATGTGGATATTTCCAAATGTGGATGCCGTGGTAAAACCATTATTGGATCCATTTGTTTTTTGCTCAAGGTCGAAAAACGAAAACTCCATGCCATGCCTAAAACGAAAAAAAAAAACATTAGCTTCACTTGAACAAAAATGATTTATTTATCGCAAAAAATCTTAAATTATTTAATTGTTACAACCACAAGTCTCGAATGTTCAAACTGTAATAAAAGCGTTTCAACAGTTCCGCTTGAGGAATTAGCATATTAATGCAAACTTATGGTAAATTTGCATGGATTTTCTTTGTATTTGCAAATTTGATTGAAAAACACCTTGTAATCTTGAGCTCAACAACTTTCTCGAGAAATCGAATCCAGTTGTTGCGGAGCCTTAGAAAATGTTTACGCACTACTAATTTCGTTTGATTCTCTATGAGAGTGAGCGAAGGTTTTTGCGCGCAATGATGACGTTAAAGAAGATCGATAAACGTGTTTAAATATTGTATTTTATATACATGTTATGTGACGCGAACATATAAAGAAACACGCGCATACTATCAACATTGTGATCACTTCATTCAATTACAATTCAATAAAAATCATTTGCGTGAGAGACATGCTGGGACCAATACACAGAGCGAAGTAAGCGTTCAATTACAAGCCATTTCACACGTTCACCTCTTTTTTTTTTTTGCTGTTGAAAAAACAGTGTGCTCGTTTTTGTACGTTTTTGAACACAACGTTATGTACATTTATCACTCCGTTCACGTGTGATGGTGCCAAAGTAAAAGAAAATGCAAAAGAGAATTGATAGCAGAGAATTGGAGTGGATAGAAAAACGAGTGCGAGCGTGCGCTGGTACGCGGTAGCAGCGACAACGGCGATCGACTGCCTGCAGTTGTTTAAATACAATCATATTGTCACCTTCGCATTGCGAATTATTTTTACACGTTTCAAATAGCGTTTTTATAGTGCTGGTACTGGAAACACAGTCAATTTGTCGCACAGACGACGAAATATTATTGTTATTGAAAGAAGACAAAATAAAAATTGAAAGGAAGTGTGTTGTCGATCGGCTAAGACTAGAATCTCAATGTTATTGAAATTCTCGACGAGAATCCATGTGTATGTACCATACAGTGAATGAGTGGTTGCTTGAGTCAATGGAAAGTGGATGTAAAGCTATGCTACAGGTTATCAGCGTTTTAGATCAATTTTGCCTCAATCGTTGTACCAAGCGAAAGAAAATAAAATGCATTCATATTGAATGTGCCATTCTTCATTACTCCTTCACACCGTGTGTCATGACTATTTCCAGCCTATTGCCCACACAATTTCATTCATTTAGCTCTCTCTCTCTCTCTCTCTCTCTCTCTATCTCAAGCCGCAGATAAAACGAAATGCATTTAGATCTTTTGAGATAGCAATCTATTTTCAGCTTAGAAATAAATTCATTTAATTGAGCATTCAAACCAAAGTGTTGATTTGATACAGATGACACCATCATTTAGTACACAGATATCTTGTTATGAACACCCATTGATTCTTTCGGAGATTATTCACACATAATCGGGTCGAAACAAGATTAGTAATGAACAACTTACAAGATAATCAAATGTTAAAACGAGGCAAAAAAAAAAAATGAAATGTCCCATCCAGTGTGTCCATAACATATAGAAATAGCACTAAATAGTGTCGATATCTATACTATATTGGTCCACTATATATGTAAGATATTCCGCAAGACACCATAGCTCACGATAGAAGTGAGTGCGGACGGCAAACATGTTGACGCATACACACAGTTCTTTCTACTGCCGCATGGCAATTTGTGATTTTTTCCGTCTACACTGGCTTCGATCGTGCGATACGGTGCCGTGCGGCAATATCTTTCATATATAGTGGACCGATATAGTATAGATATCGACACTATTTAGTGATATTTCTATATATTATGGACACACTGGTCCCATCAAAGCGATTAGATTTGAATTCACGCTTGGTAGCTGCTAAAGAAATTTGTCCATTGATGCAATTTATAAATACAGTGGCTTTGAAATGACATGCGAATCGCATCAACTTTGTGGGCGAAAAGAGCACAAGTATCATACACACACGCACATTATTTTATGGAATTACACAAAGCCATTAAAGTTCGATAACGTCATAAATGTTTGCGTCAAGTAAAAAAAAAAACACGTAAGATCTATTTGCTATATAGTTATCAGCGGACAAGACAAACATTAAAAATGTCGTACAAATGATAACAATTGTAACCATTCAGTTTGGTGTGTGCATCGCCAGCGAACTTATTTCAAATATTCATCATTTCCAATGCATAATGTAGCACTTTCCATTGAAATTAACGGCTATAAAGTGTGAAATGACACAGAGAACAACCGTAATAAAACGAACAAGATAACGATGACGTGAAACATGGAAAAGAAGAAACCTATTGAAATATGTAGTCACTTTAAGTGCGACTATGCAGTATGACAATTAAAAAAAAAAAGATTTTTGAATTCAAATTTTTGAAGATGAAAAATTTTATTCACTCGTAAAATGATTTTTATGTTCATAAACACCAAGTGTCAAATAGACATAATTCATAAAACAGTAACATTTAATCAGCGCAAAAGTCACATTAGAATCATATAATACTAGTATAATTGAATCAAATGGGTAAATACGGTTTTTATTCATGCGCATATCGAATATTGAATTATGTCGAAAGAATTAATTGAACATTGTACAACAAATTGACATTTCAATCGATAGATCATAGCCTTATATGGAATAATTCATTGTGACCGCATCGAAAAACACATACTGTCTCAACAGACATCATGTGTACAATGTATGCGGCACATATATATGACTTGCAAAATTGTGTCAAAAGTAATTATAATCAAATTACAATGTCTTCAATTGAAATGTCACTTCAGCTTTACTTCGATGCCAATGCATTCGAAATTGGATAAATCAAATCATTGTGATGCAAACATGTTTACAGTAAATTGTGTTCGATATCTGAGTGAATAATTTTGGAATTGTGCATGGATTTTTGTCATCAAAATTGACACGAATTTGAAATCTCTGCAGAATTATTAAACAATTTCGGCCATACTCAAGTGGGCTCTCAAGTCAGGGGCACGTATTTCTCATGCTAAGTAGTACGGCCAGAATTCAAAAATTTGCAAAGCATTCCGACGAAATTGGTTTTCACACAGAAAAATCTCTATGATGACAAAAAGCTGTTTATTCGATGAAAAATTGAATAAATATGTAGTGATTTTAGTATATTTAAGTAACATTTCACAGACAATTACCGTTTAAACGTTGAATATAAATTTAATATGACGCTGTAGTGTGCAACTGTATGCTGTGTTTTTGTTTCATTGCATTTAAATGGGTAATTGCTTATCGGCAGACTTTTATGCCTATAAATAATTTATAAACATAATTTTCATGCACACCGTAAAAAAAATCTATTCATTCATTCTACTATTGCACACTATGTGAGAGTCCTTCGTGGATGACATGAATTGATTGCTGTTTAATTTCATATTTAAATGCATGAAACGGTGAATGAATTGATTCCCGTTGAATATAATAGTCGTAGACATACAATACTTGAGACCAATACTATAATCTCGATGTACTACTCAGCCAACTACGACCACAAAAAGGCCAATCTGGTGCAGTAAAACGAGCGAGAGATTGAAAAAAAAGACGACTAAAAATTGAGCAGGAGAGAAAAAAAAAACGGCGTCAATAAATTATCGCTTAATTACACTGTTTTAATTTTAACTTCTGCTGGATGACTGGGGCTCTGCTCTCAATCTTATATTAAAATCTCGTTCCATCGTTTGCTTCGTAATCGTTCAACTTGTGTGTGTGCTCTTGTGTTGTCGAAGATTATGTTTTTGCATTAAAAAAGTTTAATTTGAGAACGAAGAAGAGGAGAGAGAGAAAAAAAAGTTTGCAGCAAAACCAATGTGGAATGAAAACCGACAATTTGCGTTGCAGTCATCCAGTGGTAAGAGAAAAAACCAAACGCAACATATTTTGAACGGGATGCGAAAGGAACAGGAAAAAAATTGTATATATTTTGCATGAAAAAAAATGTGGCCGAGATAGCGCCGAGTTGAAAGTTAAACCACAAAAACAATGCGAAACATACGTACTTTGGCTTCGCCTTGGCGTTTTCAATTTACTTGATGATTTTCCCATTTTTATGTTGTTTTCGATGCAAAGAGACGAGATGGTGTTATTGGTATTTTTTTTTGCCGTATCGCCCGAAATTTCTCACTTGTGACGCGCTAGTTTTCCGAAAGAGTTATTTTCGTAGCTGTGTTTTCAATTAACAACTCTTGTTAGTGCTTCGAATACCACTTTAACCGTTTATCGGCAAACATTTCGAACCACGAGATTTAAACACACCACTGATTTCGAATTGATGCACACTGACCATTGCTCAAACACTCACGAAAAACACACACACAGCAGCGAGAGGGACTTAATGAGAAAAACGAGGAATAAAAGTGAATTAAAAACACGACGGCAAAACTTTTACTCCACTGAAACAATTGTGTTTGACTCGACACATTTTTTTTTGTACATTCGACAGTCGAAAATAGTTTTTCACTCGGATGGTTTGGGTTTTGTTTTGATTTATGGTTTTATAAAGTTATTTGCTTGTAAGCTTTTTATCATTGCATCACGAAACAATTTTCTCGGGTTTTTTTCCTCACTTTTTTCAATTATCAAATCACTATTTTCACTTAACATTGGTTTTTCTGGCAGTAAGTATAAGTGAGCGCATCCGTAAGCAAAAAATGAATGTCCAAAAACACAGAAACAGGTTTTTTTATCAGCTCATTCTATTTTAACCTTATGTTTTCTTCAGATCTTTCAAAACTAACTCTATTTACATGTCGCATCGTGTGAATTCCATAAACAAACTAGAGATGTTTCAGTTTTGTCTAGATTCATTGTCGTAGTCGTTGTCGGAAACACGCACATTCTTTTATTACCGATTCTAAGAAGTGCTGATGATGCAAGCCATTGTAAAAAAATATAAAAACCCATAAACATAAATTTGTCGGTTTTTGTTTCTTCTTCTTTTTGTTATAAGTTGAGAAATTTCAACTAGATACTTAAATGCACGTGTAATTCAATATTGTCGCATTATATGTATATATTTTTTCGTTTCCTTCTGTTTCACCTATAGACTGTACCGCACCGCACCGTTTCAGCGAAAAAATGTTGCAAACCAGCGGCACTGTATGTCTGCATTCACATTAGAATCGAATTTGCCACAGTTTTTTGTTTGCTTTCTTTTGTGGTTTTGCTGACGTTTTTCATTCTCTCCACTTATTTAAATGAATGAGAACTGGTGCGGAACTTTTGTTTTTCTCTTTTCGCTGTCTCCAACTGGATGTAAATAATATAATACGTACAGCTTTGAATGAATTTATAGAAATGTTTATGATTAATTTCAATTAATTCATAATTTTTGATGCGTTGGCTACAAGAGAAAATCGTACGGTTCACTTTCAAACATGATTTATAGTTTTCAAAATAACATTACGCAAACACACAATAAAACGTGCACATTTTTCAAGTTTCAATTTATCTTCGAAGCAACTGAGGTACTTTCAAAACGAGAGCAATTAATCGACTGGCTATCAGCATTGTGTTTTTTACGTGGAATTTATTGAATTCTTGCAATTTGATAAGGCAACCAACGCACAACACATTCTTGATTACACGCGATCGCGTCGACGACTTAGTTTAAACTATGGTCGATTCTTTTTTGTTCACTTTAAAAGTAAAATAAACAGCACCTTTTGGCCAGACAACTGCCTTTTTAGTTAGAAATAAAACATTAACCCAAACGAAGCGAACAGTATGCTGACGCCGATGTCGTCATTCGGTTAATGAACGAAGTAAGGCGAACGATCACTATGTATTTTGTTGACTGCTCTGCGTTAAGACACAACAGAGTGTGAACAGACATAGTGTGAATAGACTGGGTTTATGTATGTATTTGTGTAACATATTATTCAAAGTATAGTGGCGATCCAATGATTTTGAACGGTATTATTAAATTGAATCGCTAACCAAACGATCTCGTTTGACAGTCACAATTAATTATAGAGTTTGATTCCAGTTGGATTCTTTGCAAAATTTTGTATCATACAATTTACCTTCTTCGTCGTCATAGCTATTCGTGTCCAATGACATTTTCGCATTTCTGTTATACCTTATCTTCTTGTTGATATGTTTCTCTATTTGATTTATTTACGCGTTTTCATGATAAAACTAAAACTCGATGCGGTGGCAGTCCCAGTTTTAAATTTTGATTCAACGAAATTAAATACGTATTATGAAGTAAACATCTAACAACAATCACGGCAACGAGATTCGTCACATTCGTACTAAGCAGTAACCGGTATTGTTTTGCTAAGGAGACTGTTTATACACAAAACATTTTAATTACCATTGATTTCTTTTATGCCGCTGTCAGTTTAGTATAAAATTGACTCAGAATAAAAATGAACTCAGATATTGAATTAAACGATTCGTTAAAAAAGTATATATATTAAATTTATTCAACATTTCATTACGTCTTTATGCAAATATGGTTTTTCGTCGATAAATGTTTTAATATTCAGAGAATTTCATTTGCTCTTTGCTCTTTTGCACTAAAATGCAGAATGATAAAAAGGAAGCTCTTGAATGGCATCGAAAAAGCAATGTCAACGGCATTTTTCAAATGTCTTCATTTCGAGTAACAAAAAGAAAAACGTCGTATGTTCTCTTACTTTACCTCATGAAATTCAAGCTATTGTTGATATCGTTTGCTTCAATCATCGAATAAATAGAGACCGAAGAAATACAAACAATGGTTATCGGTGCCATAACTAAGAATGCGTCGCATTGCTTCCGTCTTTAATGTATTTTTTGAAAAAAAAAGAAGAAAAAAATGTAACAAAGTAAGTAATTTTCTATATAAACACAGTGTTTGTTCTTTCCATTTTTTGTGATATCTAACTTTTATTGTTCAATTATTGTTTTCTCCGGTCATTCGTTTGTTCGGCAGACGAACAGCAGACACAAAAAAAACCATTCACATGACTTTTAAAATAAGTGCATTTGTGACTTGAAATGATGAATTGATTGACAGAAGTGCAACTAGAACGAAAACAATACCACCACCGCTGCCACCGTCGCCGCCGACGTCGTCATCACCGCTGCCGACAATTCATATTTGTTGTTATGTAAAATCATTGAAATATATCCACTATGAAGAGCGGTACTGCAATTGATTTTATGGTTTCTATGGTCAATTGATAATGGCACACATTTCACTGCGATTGCTTGTCATTGTCGACCAATTGATTGCTGTCTATCATCGTGATGTGATTTAGAAATGAAATGAAACATGAATTGAAATGGACATGATTGGTCTGCCGATGCCGCCCTAAAAAACTTTCCACCAGAACACACATCAGAAAATAATCCATGCACAAACTGCAAACTAACCCAATTTTCAATGTCTATTTATAGCTGGCAATTTCCATGTTTCAACCTTATTTGCACAAAAACAATCGATTTGAAAACACACGCACAAAATTCGCCTGTGTGATTTTTTTTTTTCTTCATTGCAAATAGTTGATTTCGTTCAGTGAATAAAATGTTTATTTTCAGGCATGTGAACAGTCAAATATTTGGATTACTGTGGATTTTACTGGTTTTGTGTAATATTTATCAAATACTTGGCGAAACATCAGCTGATTCATGGTTAATATTTGCACGTGAAGCGAAAAAAGTGCTCAACAAGTGCTACAAAAATGTAAGGAGAAAAATCGCACGTGTGTGTGTGTGAAAACACAAAAATTAAAAATTGATCAAATTAAAAGAAGTTTGAAATTAGTTTTGCTACAAGTTTTGCTATCACATTATTTACAGCATACAGATTTAGCCGATTCATGGTCGTGTTTAAAACAAAACAGTTTACTACTTTACGATGATATTGCAAAGGCAGACCACATTCCGTTAACAGAAAACTTTGAATTGCTTCGAAGACCAAATCTAACCATGTAATTCAGTTGTTATTCAATCAGTTTTTCTTTGCCATTGATGCATCTTTTTTTTTCTACGGCATTTAAATTGCTTTTCAACGCATTCAGAAATGACGCACAATTAGCAGCACAAAGCTACGATGAAGAGAAATCCTCATGGATTGAGGAGATGGAGAAGCGAATTGTTGAAACGTTTGCCACACATAATGTTCGTTTTCTATTCCAATCATCAGGTGATTTCTAGCGTTACAATGAAGGAGAAAACTTTTTTCAATGATACCTTTAATAATAGGATATTGCTATACTCTTTAATGGTTCACCTGAAATAAGTTCTTTATTCCTTAGAACATGGTGAGGCACGAAGAAGACGTCGTCGAAGAATGATGATGCCAGCGATGGTTTTCGGTATGGCGGTTTTAGGGGTAATTATCATTCCATTGGGATTCCACGTTATGGCCAAAATTGGTGGACTCGCCTTATTGTTTGGAAAATTGGCATTGCTCATAGCATCAATAACTAGTTTAAAACGGGTAATTTCGAAATAAAATCATTGGGTCTGGAATGTCAACAGTCATAGTATAGCTAGCGATTTGGCTAGTAGCAATGCACAATATAGATATTTTAGAGAAACAATAGAGCCACTGCATGGCAAATAGAATCACTTAACACGTAACGTGAATAGTGGGGTTTGTTTGTCTCTTATTTCAATATAACTAACTGTACTGTGTGCAGCATTGATATTCCAGTTCGCCGATAGAAAAGAAAAAAAAATCAATCGATCGAGTTTCTTCTATATTTTTGTTTGATGCAGTTAGCGGCACATGGAGTACACTACGGTTAGTTTTAATGGTAATAATATAATCATTTATATTGATAATTGTTTAAATCTTTGGGTTAGGTTTATACCACACAGATCACCACTATGCCTATGGAGGCCCACCATTTCAGGGTTACTGGGAGAGGAACGATCGGGACGATGATCGCCGAAGGGATCCCAACTACAATAGCAATTATTATCGCACATAATTCATAATATGACCTTCTTGTCTTATATTTTGACCATTTTTTTCTCTTTCTAGTGCTTAGCTTTCGAAATATACGATTTAGATTAATTTAATTAATTCTGTTCAAACAGAAACCAAAATAACGAAATAAAGAGGAACTTTTTCACGATATCCCGTACACTTTTTTTACCGAAAAAAAACTGCGTTATTTTTTTTAAATGCAGTACTTTTCGCACTTGTTCGCCAACACTAGAAAATATAATATTACAGTGTATGCATGCACGAATTGCACATAATTTCATTGTCGCACATTCATTTAATCAAATACAAAATCGAGTTAATATTATAAATAAATCTTTTCATTCACAAAATGCATTCAAATACCAAACACGTACTCAACGTTGCATAGTAAATCTACCGTCGTCGGTTCGTTCTCATTTTCCTCTTTTTCTCTAGATCAAACTACCTACAGATGTTTACCGCACGTACGGCGGTGCTCGAACGTTCATTGCATTAAATATTAAAAATGAACGCCTACCCACCACAGTAAATGAAAGAGAACGGATTTTAGGTGCAGCAAGAATTGTATGCGCTTCATTTAAATCAAATGCCTTTTAAATTACGCAACTTAAATAAGTAATAATATCGTGTTTAATTCGGGGTTTGATGTGCAGAAATTGAATTCACTTCGAATGGAATTAAGTTTTTACAAGAGCTACTCCACGGTTTTCGAGAGCATGAATGAACCAATTCTCGGAACACCGTTATGGTTTGATGCTTAATTAGATTAATGATTGCATATGCATCGTTTTCCTATTAAATGTTAGAAATTGAACTAATTTTAATTAAATCCAAATTAACGGAACATTGGCTTCGTACTTGGAGCTGAAGCCGAATGCTTCTTGGAGCGATTATATTTTTCGCAAAACTGTTTCGGTTCTGTTTACAATTGCCCGAAATCGAGTCAACTTATTAAACGAAAGTGAATGATTTTTTTGTGTGTGTGGCAATTGTACTTTGCTGCGAATATCGTAGTCAAAAGCATTTTCGCATTGTTTATTCAATTCTATTTACAAAAGCACTTAAATGTGAAGATGTGAATGCTCTTTGTTTATACAGTATCCAGGCACGTTTGTATTAGAATCCACCACATGCGCGCGCGATGTGTTTGTGTGTGTGTGTGAAGTGAGTTGGTTCATTGTGGATAGGATCTTTGCTTTTGTTTTATATTGTTTACGCGATTCTTTCAGAAATTGAAATGAATGGTCCCATTAAATGGAATGCACTACAAATATAAACTTGATAAATTTTCATAAATATTTGCATTTTTCACTTAGCACAATTTTAAATGGAACGGCATTCCCATGCACTTTACAAACGCGATAAATTCTGTTTTAATATTATGCTCCAACAAAAAAACAAATATAAATAGATAACAGAGGCTGTGTGTAAATATTAGTCGTTGAATGGCTCTTGAAATTCACGATGTAATAATTCGTCGTTTTGAATGAACTGTTGGTTCATTTGTATGTTTGGGTGTATGTGTGTGTGTGTGCCTGTGGAGGCCTTGTTTCACCGCTGTCATCATGCCAAATGAAACGAACATGAATTTTCTATCCGAACTAATAATGAAATGAATTATCGCTTGAATTACTTTGCAGCCCAACTTATGGTTTCTGACTTTGGTATTCAATTGCAAACACTTGAAATGGGAAAACCAACCTTGACTTCAAATTGAATTGAAATCACCTCTGAACTGCTATTGTTAGAATTGTTTTAGAACTTAATCTCAATGGTTTGTCTTTTGCAAACTGTTTCCGTTCCATTTCAGCACTAAATCAATCGAAACGAGTGTGTGACACCTGTATACACCGTCTATTGTTTTGTTAAACGCTCGCAACAAATGTATTTAACCTTTTGGCCAAAAACCATTGCCACATTAATAACACATTTCATTCCATTCCATTTTGTAATATTAATGGCAAACCAAAACAGAGAGAGCATATGCTATACCATGTAACTGTTTGAAATGATATTATGCTTATGTTATGTTGAAATCGGCGATAGATAATTTTATGGATGCAAAATGTTGCATCTACACACTTACCACATGAAATATTATGCAAGCATTTCGAATATATCGATTAAATTGAGCATAACACACACGATATACTGTTATTTCAAACACACATATATATACTTTACACCATCCGCAAAAACGTTGCATTGACCCAATGCTAATCTCTTGCTCGGTTGTTAAGTGTCAAAAATAATAAATTACATTATTATTGATTCAGGATGTGTACATTTAGCTTAAATTTCTATAGGTCTCTGGGAAAATGACAGAGAATGGAAGACAAAGAACGAACGAAAGAAAAAAAAGAGTAAATTGAACAGCATGAAAAGTCAAATTTAACATTATTGTATACATTTCGAAGATTATTTTCTCTACATAAAAGCAATTAATGCACATTTCGACAGAACCATGGTGGTTTTTTTAATACTCTTCGCCACAATGATTTTTTATGTTATGAGAATTGATGTTGTTGCTGCATCGGTACACATATTTAACGGTTTTGAAGTTGTTGTACCGAAAACATTCAAAAATCCAGTTTTATTATCAACCGAAAGATTTTGCACTTTGACTGTTCCACTTTCTTTGAATGTATTTTTTTTTCTTCGAATGACTTTTTTTATTTTCTTTTTTTTATCATTGACTTTTTAACTTTGTATCGGAAATTTAAATGGATTTGGCACGAAGAATGAAGTCATCAACATTGTTCAATAAGCCATGCACGTCCATCGCTACCAAAGAATTTTTTTGGAACAATGGAAACAAAAACCATGTAAAAATGACGGCCTAAGAAGAAAACAATAACATACAGAATATTCTGCAAAAAGTCGAATACAAATTTATGTGAGCAAAAACCAAATATACAAACAGACAGCGCAAA